TCCCATTTTTCCCCCATTCCCATTAATTTTTTTCCCATTTTTCCCATTTTTTTCCCATTTTTTCCCCCAGGATCCCCCGAGGTGGCTGTCTCTCTCATTTTGGGCTCATTTTCCATCAGTTTGGTGCTGATTTTGGCCGTCGCCTCCTTTTTCTACCTCAAACGCTCCAAGCGGCTCCCGCGGCTCTTCTACCGCCAAAACAAAGGTCAAAAACGGGAAATTTGGGGAAAATTGTGATTTTTAATTAATTTTATTCCATTAATTAATTTAAAATTTCAAATTTCACAGCAGGATTTGAAATTTTCCATTTTTTAATTGATTTTATTCCATTAATTGATATAAAAATTTGAATTTTCTTGGATATTTCACAGCAGGATTTGAAATTTGCCATTTCTTAATTAATTTTATTCCGTTAATTGTTTTAGATTTGAATTTTTTTCTTGGAAATCTCCTCATGCCGGGGGTTTGAATTGAAATTAATGAAAATTAATGAAAATTATTTAAAATTAATTAAAATTAATTAGAATTATTTTTTTTTTCTCTTTCAGCATCCGTCCTCCAGCCCAGTGAAACGGTGAGTGAATTCTGCTTTTATAAAACATTAAATAAATAATAATTTAAAACTTAATTAGAATTTAAATATGAAATAAATTAAAATTTCAACATTAAATAAATCATTTCAGCATTAAATTAAAAATTCAACATTAAATAAACAATCATTTAAACTTTAATAAAGAAGAATTTCAACATTAAATAACAATTTAAACTTTAATAAAAAACCATTTAAACATTAAATAAATAAAATTTTCCGTTTTTTAAGGAAAAACTGTTAAAAAATTGCTTTTTTTTTGATACAAACATGATTAGAACCCTAAAAAATTCAATTTTTTTAATGGAAAAATCATTAAAAATTGCACTTTTTTGACACAATCATGATTAAAACCTTAAAAAATTCCTGGTTTTTAAAGGAAAAATCATAAAAAATCCTTTTCCCATTTTTTTTTCAGGCCTCCATGATTCCCCCTCCGACCTCCTCAGGTGAGGGATTCGACCCCGGAAAATCCGGGAAAAAATCTGGGGGAAAATCCCAAAAAGCTCCAGCACAGAACCCCAATAAAAACCCCTTTGGTTTGGGTTTGGGGCCCAATTTGGGGGTTTGGGGTTTGGGTTTGGGTTTGGGGTTGGTTTTGTGGGTTTAATTTTGGATTTAGGGTTCAGTTTTTATGAATTTTCGTTTTGGGTTTTGCGTTTGGATTTTATGGGTTTAATTCTGGATTTAGGGTTTGGATTTATGGGTTTAGTTTGGGGTATGGGGTTTGGCTTTGTGGGTTTAATTTTGGATTTGGGTTTTTCCCCATTCCATGACAGAATCCCCACTCAAACCCCATTTCCCAGCCATTTTTCCCCATTCCCTGTTGGAATCCCCACTGAAATCCCATTTCTGGGTTGTTTTTTCCCCGTTTTTTACCCCACAGTGCGGAAACCCCGCTACGTCCGCCGGGAGCGCTCGCTGGGCCCCACAACCCCAATGGACACACGGGTCAGCAACGTCTGACCCCAAAGGGACCCCAAAATGACCCCAAATGGACCCCAAAGGGACCCCAACCCCAATGGACATGAGGGTCAGCAACGTCGGACCCCAAAGTGACCCCAAATGGACCCAGAATGGACCCACAGTGACCCCAAACTGACCCCACAGTGACCCCAACGGACACACGGGTCAGCAGTGTCTGATCCTATTGGGATCCCGGGAGTGACCCCAGAGTGACCCCAAATGACTCCAGAATGACCCCAGGGTGACCCCAACCCCAATGGACATGAGGGTCAGCAATGTCTGACCCCAAGGGGACCCCACAGTGACCCCAAATGGACCCCAAGGGGACCCTGACCCCACTGAGACCCTGAGAATGACCCCAGAGTGACCCCAAACTGACCCCAACGGACACGAGGGTCAGCAACGTCTGATCCTATTGGGGACCCCCAGAGTGACCCCAAATGGACCCTGAGAGTGACCCTAAACTGACCCCAGAGTGACCCCAACGGACACACGGGTCAGCACCGTCTGACCCCAAAGGGACCCCAAAGGGACCCCAAATGGGCCCCAGAGGAACCCCGACCCCAACGGACACGAGGGTCAGCAACGTCTGACCCCAAAGTGACCCTAAACTCACCACCCTACTGAGACCCCGAGAGTGACCCCATGGGGACCCCAGAGTGACCCTGACCGCAATGGACACACGGGTCAGCAATGTCTGACCCCAGAGTGACCCTGAGAGTGACCCAAAAGTGACCCCAAATGACTCCAGAATGACCCCACAGTGACCCCAAATGACCCCACAGTGACCCCGCCCCCATTCCCGACCCCCCAAGTTCCGGGGTCGCTCTGGGAGCCGCCGACCCCAAAGGGTTTGTGCCGAACCGCAACTGCCGAGGACTCTGGGACCTTTTGGGATTTTGAGGAATTTCCGGGACCTTTCGGGATTTTGAAGACTTCGAGGAATTTTTGGGATTTTGAGGATTTTGAGGAATTTTGGGACTTTTTGGACTCTCGGGGTCACCGTCGCTGCTGTGGGACGATCCCAATGGGATTTGCTGCTCCTCAGAGCGCCGACCCCATGGGGTGACCCCAAAAACAGAGACGGAAACATCGCGGGATTGGGATGGGAAATTTGGGATCGGGATAAAGAACTTTGGGATTGGGATAAAGAACTTTGGGATTGGGATGGGAAATTTGGGATTGGGATGGGAACTCTGGCATCGGGACCTGAAATAAAGAACTTTGGGATTGGGATGGGAACAGCAGGATCGGGATTGGGATCAGTGGGATTGGGATAAAGAACTTTGGGATCAGGATGGGAAATTTGGGATCGGGATTGGGATCAGTGGGATTGGGACCTGGAATCCCAAAATTGGGATGCAGAACTCTGGGATTGGGATCTCAAATTCCAGGATTGGGATAAAGAACTTTGGGATTGGGATTGGGATCCTTGGGGAGCGCTCGGGGTTCCCCAGCGGGGTCGGGGTCGGTCGCTTTTCCCTTTTTTTGGGAAAACGGGAACAAACCCACGGGGAGCTGACGGATCCCATAGGGAGAGCCCCGTTCCCACTTCCCAAAATTCTCCTGGCTCGGGATGGGAGGAGATGGATTTATCCCGTGGCAAAACCCCATTTCCCGGGAATTTTGGAAAACCCCATTTCCTGGATTTTTGGAAAAAACCCCATTTCCCGGAATTTTTGGAATGGCCCCATTTCCCAGATTTTCCGAAACATCCCATTTCCTGGATTTTTGGAAAAATCCCATTTCCCAGATTTTCAGACCAACCCCATTCCCGGGGATTTTCGGGTCGCGTTTCCTCCCCTCCCCCATAAATCCCCGGATTTTTCTCCTTTGCAAACCCCAAATATAAAAAACCCCAAAATCATGAAGAGTCTCTGTGCCAAAAAACCCCAAAATTCCCGATTTTTCCCTTTTTATCACGGATAAAATTTTAATATTTTAAATCAATTTAATTATTCTACACCAGCTGAGAGCCCTCGAGCTCCCCACGGGAAATTTGGGGGAATTTTGGGGTTCCCAAAT